GTCAATCCGCCCATCCATCCGTCAGCCTCTCACCCTCACATCCGTCCATCTTCCCACCCTCCATCCACCTTTCCATCCATCTACCCACACACTCCCATCAGTCAGGCATCCTTCCTCACTCTACCCACTCACCCATGCACCTGGGTCTCAGCTATTTGGGGAGCTGCAGTGAGAGACTCTCTTGAGCCCAGAAGTCAAGACTGATCTGGGCAATAATGAAACAAGTTAGTTAATTAACTCATTGATGGAGAAGTGCCTCTGGAGGAGAATGACTGGTTTGAGGAAGGGCTCAGGAAGCGCAAAGCGCGCCAGACAGAGGGAACATGGTCAGCGGAACCTGGAAGCTGGCGGCTATTCTGTGCTCAGGAGGCAGGGGGATGGAGGGACACAGAAAGTGAAGCAGAAGGGGTTTGAGGGCCTGGGGCTTCTCTTCTGCATGCCTTGGGGTTTATGGGTATGGCGAGGTTCAGCCAGGCGGTGATACACCCCTTTTTATTACAGAGAATAGTGTCCTATACACCGAGCTCCTGGCCAGGCTCCTTTTCTTTGCTACGTCGTATCCAGCAATGATCGGGCAGCTGTGCCAACAAGCACAGAGCTGGTTCCGTGCCTGCCCACACCCAGTGCTGGTGCCCTTGGCAGGATTTCTACAGCCACCTGGGGGAAGATTTCGAGCCACTCTCACTGGATGTCACAAAGGTGAGTGTCCCCAACATCACAAAAAAAAAAAAAAAAAAACACCAGCTCACTGTATACCCAGGGGAGCAGATGCCAGATATTTGGGACTGCTCTCTGGGGCTCCACTTTGCCAGACAGGAGGCCCCAAGGTACCATGGGGGCCTTCACTTGCTATCTCGTGCCGGCCTTCTCCATCCCTGGGGACTGTGGATGACTGCTGTAAATACTGCTAATGAGCCCGAAGCCGGCAGATGCTTCTGAGGTTCTGCCCCAGAGAGCTGCTGGCTAGAGTCCCACAAGCTGGAGGTCCATGCCAGGCAGTCAGCAAGTGTCATGTGAGCTGACTGCCCTGCCAGGGGGAAGAGGGCTCAGGCTTGGCCACACCTTGTCATCATGCCTCACGTACCCACTGTCCACACACCTGTGCACACACAATCCACTCATCCACCAACCCCCCCACCATTCTTCTATCCAGTATCCCACCCTGCTTCCTTCTATCTATCTATTTATCTATCTATCTATCTATCTATCTATCTGTTTTTAAGATTTCTTTTCTTAGGCTGCGTGATGGTGGCGGCACACACCTTCAACCCAGCACTTGGGAGGCAGAGGCGGGCAGACGCTTTTCTTTTATAAAAATTGATCTGTGTGTGTGCGTGTGTGCATGTGTGTTTGTATGTGTGCACGCATGCGTGTGTGTGTTACATATGTCTGGGGATTCCCACAGAGGCCAGAGGAGGCCATTGGAGCCCCTGGAGCTGTGACTCGCCTGATGTGGGTGCTGGGAACTCAACCCAGGGCCTCAGGAAGAGCAGGTAACACAGCGCTCTCTGATGCCCCTGTGTCCCCCACCACCACTGCCCTCACCCCCACATTTCCCTCACCAGGATACCCCCACCCGTCCTCCTCCCTCGGGCTGCTCACAGTCACTTACAACGCACCCTGTAACTCTGGCCTGAGTCGGCACACGTGGAGAGCCTCCCGCAAGCCTCCTCCTTCTCTCCAGGCTCCAGTTCCCATCATCCCCGTCCCCAGGCAGCTTCTCTCCACAATAGAGAATGAGAGGCACAGAGAGGAAATGACGCTGGTGACAGTGGCTGTGCTCGTTAGGAGGATCCGGGCAGAGTGGGTGGATAGGAGCCCGCACAGCAGCTTCAACAGACAGCCCTGTTTGTTAGCTGGAGCATCCCTAGGGTGTCAGGGACGAGGACTGCTGCTGCAGCCCTTACTGTCAGAGTGACATTCCTGTCAGTGAGGAGGGGGCTGGTGGGCCTCTGCCTATTAGAGGCACCCCCAGAAGAACTTGTTTCTACTCTAATGTCATTGACCAGCAGTAGGACTGGGATGTGGTGAGGGATGTCTCCCTGCAGGATGTAGCAACCCTACTCTTCTCCTCCAGGAGTCTTTATAGCTGAGCTCTGATCTCTTCCCCTAAGGAAATGTCCTAGCAGATCTAGCCATTTCTTTTTCTGCTCTCTTCAGCTCTGGCCCAAGATGTTTCTTCTGTTTTATTCTGCTAAAGGGGAAGCCTCTATAGAAATGTAGCAATGCCCTCTGGCTTCAGTGAAAATTACCTTTTTCTGCTCAACTCCCAAGGGAGTTTCCCAGCAGATTTAACTGTTTCTTCTGTTTTTGTTTTTGTTTGGTTGGTTGGTTTTTGTTGTTTTGTTTTTGCTCATCCCTCCCCCCCAAAGGAAATGTCTCAGCAAAGATTCTTCTGCTCCGTGCCTGAGAAAGAAGATCTTCACCCAAAACTCTTTTAAGAAAGAAATTTATTTGGGAAGGAGGAGTCTGCCAGGGTGGTTCCTCTGCATATAGCTGAACAGGCAGAGGGGCTTTTGTATAGGGCTTCTTAGGGGTAGAGTTTTCCCAGGGAAAAGATTTTCTGCTCAGAGAGTGATTCGTTTTCCTGCTCAGGGACTGGTTGGTTTCGTTGGTCAAGGGCAGAGTTGGCTCTGGTTTCAGGGCCAAACTGTGTTTCTTTCACTGGTCCTGTTTTACCTTTTGGTTCTGTTTTCAAGGCTAAGGCGTATTTCTTTTACTGGCTCTGGTTCTATAGCCAAAGTGTATTTCTTTGGCTCTGATTTCAGGGCTAAAGTGTTTCTTTCACTAGCTCATGTTTCAGATCCAGGGTGTGTTTCTTTCAGGCTTTGGGTTTAGGGTCAGTGTGCTAGATTTTGTGCCCAGGGATTGGTTGGTTTTTCTGCTCAGGGATTGGTTGGTTTCATGTTTAGTTGGTCAGAGGCAGAATTGACTCTGGTTTCAGGGTCAAGTTGTATTTCTTTCACTGCCCCCCCTTTTTTTAGCTTTTTGGCTCTGGTTTTAGGGCAAGGGTATATCTCCTTAACTAGCTCTAGTTCCAGGGCCAAAGTGAATTTCTTTGGTTCTAGGTTCAGAGTCAGGGTATGTTTCTTAGGTCCTGGGTTCGGGATTAAGTTGTTTCTTTCACTGGCTTGGGTTTCAAATCCAGGGTGTGTTTGTTTCACTAGCTCAGGTTTCAGGGCCAGGGTGGGTTTCTGATATCCAGGGTGAGCATAGATATAATCTCTGTCTCTGTCTGTCTTAGTCTCTCTGTCGGTCTCTGTCTCACTCTGCTCTGAAGATTGTGTAGGTAACTACATATCCTCATATAAAAACACATGAATTTGGGGGCCTTCTTACTAAATAAAGAACATAAAATGGCTATGGGTACAGCCACAGATGAATCAGTGATGCTGTGATGGGTTAGTGATGTCTGCCATGGCACAGGCAGGGGAAGTTACTACTGAGAGGCGTGTTCCTATCATGTCTGGGACAGGGAAGCAACTGTGTTTTCTGCACTTCTGCTTGTCTGTTAGGGGATGAGGAGGCTTTGCCCCACTCTGGGCTTCTGTTTCCTTTTTGTTAGAGTGGTAAAAATGTGATTTAATGTTTAAGAGAAAACAAAGAAATAAAATATGTGTCTGTTATAGCTGGGCCAATTGTGACTTAACAGCCTCCAACAACCAACCGCTTTACATCTTGGGAAACGGAGGCATGTAGAAGGAACAGGACCCACTTAAGGGTGTTCCAAAAAGTCTGGATTTTCCATGCCTAAGCTGGCTTCTCTTTTTAAAAAAAACTTCATTAATTTTAGTTTTATGTGAATAAGTGTTTTGGCTGCATGTGTGTCTGTGGGCCCTTTAGATGGAGCCCCAGATGGACCCAGAGCTTACCAAAACAGCTATTAGCCAGCTTGCTCTAGAGACCTCAGCTCTGCCAAATTTACATAGGCTCTGGGGATTCAAACCCTGGTCCTCAAGCACAGCTGCAAGTATTTCATCCACTGAGCCATCCCTCCAGGCCATAGACTGGTGTTATCTAAGGCTAACTGGCTGCCTCCCTGTTCAGTGAGGGCTGAACAAAAATCCACTCATCAGAGACTGTTTGCGTAAGTGTGTGCGAGTGTGTGTCTGCTGTGCGTGTGTGCATGTGTGTCTGCACGTGTGTGCATGCCACAGCCCGTGTGTAGAGGTCAGAGAACAACACTGCAGAGCCAGCTGTCTCCTTCAGCCTTTAAACAGTCCTGGGGGATGGAGCTCAGGTGGCCAGGCTTGTAGGGAGAGCTGTTACCTGTTGAGCTGTTCATCTGTCTGTTTGCCTGTCTGAGACAGGGTCTCCCTTGGTGTCTCAGGCTGGCCTGGAACTCACTTCATAGCCCAGGTTGGCTTTGAGTTCCTGACAATCCTCCTGCCTTAGGCTCCTGTTTTCTAGGATGGTGGCCCTGGGCTAAGAGACTGTCAGTTTCTAGTTCCAGCCCTGACTTGGGCATGAGCCTGTTGAGAAACTTTTGCAGCAAGTGCCACCAAACCCTTGGGGCATTCCGCTTCCAGAGGCTCCACACTGTAGGGCCTCACAGCTCTGATGCTGAGCCAGTCTCTCCGTTACTCTCCTACAGTGAAGACCAAACGCCTTGCCTGACATCCCGGAAATGAAGGTTCCATATGTGGGTACTCAGCATCACTTGACAATGATGTGTGATAAGAACTTCTGGAAGGGGCCTGGGTGTCATCACACTCCTAAGGACCCACCTCCCATGTCCTACTTCCAGAACCTTCCAACAGCACTGCCTGTTATCAGTTATAAACATATGGTGGTGGGGGAACAGTCCCACGAGGGGCAGTGGCAGGTCACCCGAGGTCACGGCCCATCCCCCGGCAGATGGGAGACCGCAGAGAGTGAGAGGCAGATGGATACATCATAAAGAGAGAGAGAGTCTGGGTATAGAGTTTATTTAGTGGGTTATGGAGGGGGACAGGAAGGGGAGAAGCGGGGGGGGGGGGATGAAGGGAGAGTGGTATAAATTCTTTAAATTTAGCCAAATGCTGGTAGAAGTTAGAAATGTCAGCCTGTTTCCCACGGGTGAGGAGGAAAAATAAACAACCAGCTTGGGCCATTATCCATTCATCCACAAGATAACGGGGCACAAGAAATGGCAGTCACACCAGAGACACTAGGCCATAAAGGGAACAGTCTCACCAATTGTCCCAGTGGACTGATGGAAAGTTGGGAAGTGGGCTGGTAGAATCCAGGGCAGCAGTGGTAGAAACAGAGCTCTGTGAATGGAAGAGAGACAGATTCTGCTGCTGTGGTGAGAGACAGCACAGGGCAGGGGGCAGGGACAGAATAACAGTTACTTACACTGCCAAGTTGAGAACCGGGAACTGTAGCTGAGCCCACTAGACGGAGGGGTTCCGGTGGGCAGCAACCGGACAGTTTAGCATGGGTGTGATTACCGTGCCGGGAACGAAAAGCAGATAGTAAAACAGAAAAAGTAGGCTGCATTTTCAGCTAACAATCACGACCAGAATGTAAGCCGATGATAGGGAGCTATGTAGCTTGATATCCGAGGGCGGGTGGTGCAGTCTCCATGAGTAAGGCGCGAAGATCCAGAGATGGAACTCCAGTGTCCCGGAAGCTGAGCTTTGAGTCGTCACTCAAAGTCCCAGGGCCGTGAGAATGGGTGGATACAAACCAAACCCCTACGTGGTCACATGGAGTTGGAGGCCCAAGGAAGGGGCTTTAAGCCCGATTGGCAAGCGGCTGACCAGTACTGGGCCGTTTCCATGCGGGAGAACCACTGTTGAGCGATTGCACACTCATGGAGGCATGGCCAGAACCTACCATTTGATGTTGGGTGTAGAACTCCAGCCATTTTCAGCTGGAAAAGAGGCCATATAGAAGAAGAGTTAGAAGATTACAGGATCCCTAGCAGTCCTCAGCTGCAAGAGATAGCCTGCGAGTGTCCAGGGTCCTCACATGTCCTCAGCCGGCCCACCCACAGGCAGAAGGGAAGTGAAGAGAGCCTGGCCAAGTCAGGAACCAATGTTACCATTTATAAGTAGGTGGTAGGGGACCAGTGCCATGGGGGGGAGGGGCAGCAGCGGGTCACCTGAGAGCTCAGCCGATTCCCTTGGTGGGTGGGAGACCGCAGCAGGTGAGAGACGGATAGATACTGTTGTTCTTAATTCCTGCGGGTTAGACGAGGGTTACGCGAGGAAAGACACAGACACGCGGTGGTCCCACGTGGTACACTTTTAATGGGAGGGGGAAGGGTAATAACAGGTAAGGGAAAATGTGCAGACACACTAGGAAAAACGGAAGGAAGGGGCAAGAAGGGGAAAAAAGGGGGCGAACTCGTGACTTGTCCTTGATTTTAACGGAGGATGCAAAGGCTTCTGGGAAATGTGTCCCCAGGGGAACGCTGGGAATTGTAGTGTTGCAAGAGAACAACAGATACAACATGCAGAGAGTTTGGGTATAGAGTGTATTTAGTGGGTAATGGAGGGGGAAATGAAGGGTAGAAAGGGGCGAGAAGAGAGAGGCAGAAGCTGCCTCTCCAGAAAAAGGGCAGAGAGAAATAGAGGGTGAGAAAGGGTACATCTGCCTCAGTGGAAGGGGGAGGGGGTGGGAGTGGGCAGGGCTTGTCCCTTAAAGGGACAGGGACCCAGGTGGCAGACCAGGCCTGCAGATTATAACAGTACACTACTAACAGGAGTTCTAGGCGTCTGTGGGGGACTCTCCATGGTCAAATGGTAACACCAGGTGCATCTTTGTCTCTAGTTGCTACATCTAAATAAAAAATATAGGGGAGACTGTAGCTCTGCAGAATCCCTGGGTGCAGAACTATCCCTTGGTGAGGTCGTTGGCTGAGCTGCACTTTGGGCTAGGTTCCTCTTTTTATTTGTTTTCCAAGACAAGGTGTTCTGTGGCCCTGACTGACCTGGAACTCTGTAGACCAGGCTGCCTCGAGCTCACAGATCCGCCTGCCTCTGAGTGTGCCACCACCACCCTGCTTCCTCTTTTAATTTCTATGTATTTATTTTTAATGATATGTATGTGTGTACTATGTATGTGCATGTGGATGCAGTGCACACAGAGGCCAGCAGATTCCCTGGAGCTGGAATTACATCAGACAAGAGCAAGTGGGCGTCACCTTTCCAGCTCCCTTGATGTCAAAGGACAACCTTAGTGTCCATTCTAACCTTCTGCCCTGCGTGTTTTATTTTATCTTATTCCTTTAGATTTATTTATTTTATGCATCTGTCCAAGTGTATGCATTGGATGTGTGTACAGACAGATAGGAGCTGCCTTGTGAGTGTTGGGAAATGAACCCTGGTCCTGTGCAAGGGCAGTAGGAGATCTTAACTGCTGAGCCATCGCTCCAGTCTTCCTTTGGCTTTGGATGAGGCAGTGTCTCTTGTGCACAGCAGACTACCTGGCCTTCAAGCTCCCACTCACCTGCCCCTCCCCCATCTGTAGGAGGCGGGGCTGCAGGTGTGCTCCTGCTGTTTCTGACTCTCCTGGGCTCTGGGACCCAAACTCCTGCCATCAGGCTTACACTGCATGTGCTCTGCTCACTGAGCCATCTCTCCAGCCCCCTTTCTCATCACACTCAGGGGCTGGTGAGAGGGTTCAGTGAGTGGAGGGGCTTGCCAGCAAACCTGATGACCTGGGTTCAATCCTGGGGACCACAAGATGGAAGGAGATGACTGACTCCTGCAAGTTTTCCTCTGATACACACACACACACACACACATACACACACACACATGTACACACACAAAATTAATGTTAATTTTTATTTTATTTTAAGGCACTGGAGAGGTGACTCAGGACTTAAGAGCACTTATTGATCTTTCAGAGACCTGAGTCATAATGGAGGTCCCAGCCCTGACAAGCTCAATAGAGGCCTGAGTCTCAGTAGTTTACCCTGAGACAATACCTGATTTCGAGAAAGACCACAAACTGAGACTGCCAGGCGCCACCCAGGAACAGACCATCCAAAGGAAATTCCTAACGTTCCAACTGTGTTGGATCACCTGCCAACACACACTCACCAGGACACCCCACACCCTGCTAATGTAACTTTTATGGTTTTTGCCTTTAAATAGTGCCATCTAGAAGGGCGGGGTCCTCCTCTGCTGCTGTGTTGATGAGGTCCCTCCTGGCTTGTAACGGGCGCCCAATAAACCTTGCTTTTGCATTTTGGTGAGTTGGCCTCCGGGGTGGCCTTTTGGGGTCCCCATGGACTAGGCATAGCACATGGGGGCTCTCTGGGATCCTCCAGGCCCACAGTTTTAAAAATGCTACAAGATCCCTGGCGGTTCCTGAGCGGTGGCTCATCCCGGGCAGGTTGGTCCCGAGCAGCAGATCCCTGACTGGGAGAGCTGCCAGTCTGGGCGGGGCCCAGCCATGTGGAGCTGGGCTGATGCCTGGCTCCCAGAGAGTCCCTGAAAGGTGTAGTTTCCCAGCGGTGAGCGGCTGAGCAGGTGGCGGGTAGAAGGCACATAGACAGGCACATCGTACAGAATAGAATTGGATATTTATTACTTAGAGGAGAGAGGAAGAAAGAGAAGAAGAGGAGAGAGACAGAGAAGGGCCCAAGGGGGAGGAGAGAGAGAGAGAGAGAGAGAGAGAGAGAGAGAGAATGCCAAGAGAGGACCATGAGAATCTAAGATGGCGGGCGGGCAGGGGTTGCCAGGAATGGACGTGGCTTATCTCTTAAAGAGATGAAAACCATAACATTCCCAGCACTTTTTTTACAATAAAAAGCAGGAGATTGGACACCACAGTTTGACGGAATTGGGGCGGCGGATTCTCAAAACTGCTTCCGGCTTATTTGTGGGCGTCATCTTTGGGGGGGGAACCTGAGAAGGCTGGGTGCTGGCCACATCCTGGCATAGCTGGTCTCTTTGCTCCCGACCGGTGTCTGTGGCATGGAAATGTCTGGTGTCTCTTATCCTGTTTAAGGTATTGGCAGAACAAAGAACAAAGTTAAATTAAGGAAAAAAAATTTTTTAGGACCAGGGAATTGAGGGGGTATCTGACCTGTTTAAGGTAGATCCTTTAATTTGGCTCCCTAGGACGCACAAGAATTCCTTGGGTTTGTGAAAACAGAAGTTTTAGACACATAATGACTGTGGCATATTTTTGTACAATGAAAAGTATTTTTAAGAGTATGGAAGGCAGCATAAGAGAGAAAGTTGATTTGAAATTTGTTTGGTGAGGTAACCTGGCGAAACCTCTCAGCTATCAAACTGTATCAGATATCTTTGAGAAGGATAAGATTTTATTTGAGTTACTGATTAAAAAATGACAGAGAACTTACCTGGTTGGCACCCAGAACTATTCTTTTTGGGTCCTCCATGGCTAGGCTGTCGATTCTGGAGATTCTGTCCACATCTAGAGGTCTTTAGTTTAGATGATAGGCAGTTTTTCCCAATGGTCAGTGCTCAGCAGTCTAAGTGAACCACAGGAGGACATTGTTCTGTGTGTCCATTTGTCTTCTATCTTCTTTGGAGGAAGCAGAGTGCTGCTGCTGGGAGCCAACCTGTCTCTTTTTGTTATGAAAAGTTTTTTTTTAATATTTAGATATCACATTCCCCAGATCTCTGAGCAGTTGAGGGCTGTTTATTACATATAGCTGCAGTATAGAATCTGCCTGGAAGGTTGGGTCTGAGCTTGACTGTACTGGCTCTTAACAGGTAAAGAGGCAGAAAGAAGAAGAAACTGCTTGCAATAGAAGGTTAACGGCAGAACTGACAATAGTAGAGAACAGCTTAATATATTTTAAATGAGGGTTGAATTAAATATAAAGTATTTTTGTAAGAGACTTAAAAGTACATACCAGTTTAAAACATGAGACTTATGATTTTGTTGTCTGAAATGAGATGTAATGAACAATTATTATACACAGAAAGAGTGAACAGGAGTTGGGCAATGTGGGTGCCTTTTATGGGCCCTATCAAAGGCATGCCACTGCGCAAAACACATGTAACAGAGTTAACAAGAGGATTTTAGTGAAAACCGGGGAACAAGGCAGGGTATACTTAAGTAAAAATGGGAGAGCTTGGTCACCTGGCCTGGCTCTCAGCCAAGATGGAGGTAAGGTCACCCATGTAATAAAGTTAGCACTGGGGAACCCAGCAGGTAATACCTCAGTAAAGATGGTGGAATTTGGTCACCTGACCTGGACCTCAGTCAAGATGGTGATAAAGTCACCTGACCCCAGTCAAAATGGCAGCATCCACGTGTTGTATGAAAAAGTCACAATTTTTGAGCTGTAAGGATTTTAACCTTAATGAAAGGGACCTAAAGGCATGATCTGCCCTGTTGCTGAGCCGCCATGCCACAACACAAGCCACAGAGGGGAGCAAAAGGCTGGAACTGAAAAAAAAAAACCACACCATGCCATGGCTGGAATTTTTAAAAAGCCAGGGTTGCTATCCAGAGCCAAAATCATGAAAACCCATGAAACAGTGGCACCCAAGGCCTATACGGGAACATCTTCTGGAAATAGGCGGGATGCAAATCGATGCAAACACCCAGGACTTGCAGACGAGGACCGCGAGTGGGGTACTATGACCTCGCTGTATCTGATCGGGTGACCCAGAAACCAGAGAGTCCAGGCCACTCTGAGTAGTGTTTATGACGAGAGAAGAAAAAGAGGAAAGAGAAGAAATGAAAAAAAGAGATAAAAAATTGGGGGGCCCTGGGTCCCCAGTTGAATGCACTGTACGGGGAGTGTGCAGTGCTAATGTGCGGGCAGATTGACCCAGGGGTCAGTCCAAACACGATTCCGGTAGCAGAATGGGGGAAGACTCACAGATTGAAGCCGGGAAGCCGGTGGTGGGAGTGGAAAAATAACCCAGTTCAGGATATCCGAGTTGCACGGCACCAATTTTAAAGAATGCTGGAAGACCCCTGGCGGTTCCCGAGTGGTGGCTCGTCCTAGGCAGTCTGGTCCCGAGCAGCGGATCCCTGACCGGGAGAGCTACCAGTCCAGGAGGGGTCCAGCTATGCGGCACTGGGCTGGTGCCTGGCTCCCAGCGAGTCCCTGGAAGGTGTAGTTTCCCAGCGGCGAATGGCTGAGCATGCACGTGGGTGGGAGACACATGGGCAGACACATTGTATGAAATAGAATTGAATATTTATTACTTAGAGGAGAGAGAATGTGGGAGGAAAAGAGAAGAGGAGAGAGACAGAGAAGGGCCAGAGAGAGAGAGAGAGAGAGAGAGAGAGAGAGAGAGTCACGTGCATGCACCAAGAGGGGACAGACAGAATCTAAGATGGCGGGAGGAGGGCAGGGGTCACCGGGAGTTGGCGTGGC